ATGCTGAACAAACCCACTTTTGCCAAACCACAGCAGCCTCTGGACCACAGCCTATGCAAATGACCAAGCAGTTGCTTCAGTTTGCTCTTTATGCCAACAGGTGGCACCATCATTATTAGAACAATCACTCAGAACCCTCCCTTCCTGAACTCATTAAACACACATACTGGCATTGCTTGTCCTGGAAGAGTTCTGTGTGATCTTGCTGGTTCTCCATTTTCTGGCCCCTTTCTCACTTTCTTGGATCCTCAAAACAGGGTTAAACACAGCTTAAAAAGGTGCCTAAGTGAAGTTCTCACCCTCTGTCACCACCAGCAAATGCCCCGTGCCTCAGTTTACCCCTGGAGTAAACATGGGCACCAGGCAGGGATCTGAGTCAGAGGAATGTATGAAGGGGTTGCCAGATACATGTACCAATGCAGAATGACACTGTGTAAGTTGTGGGCACAGGGAGAAATCAAATGCAGACACTGTTCACCATCTGGGACGCCGCAGACACACACTGCAAATCTTTCCCAAGCTATCCTCACTTCCCCTGCTCAGACAGTGACTGATGGAACTTTCCAGAAGCTTTCCAGGAGAAGCAGAGCGGGGGAGCGAGACGCGTTCCTCTTTTGCAAGCGTCTGGTGGCGGCGAACCGCAAACTTGGGGCTGTTCTCAGATGTGCAGAAAAAGGGATCTTGCAGAGGAATGCACTAGATGGGCCAACCCCCAAAGCCCTTCCCTGGGGCAAAGGCCAACTGAAGTGAAAGCCAATGAGACCTCAAATAAGGGAGACACAGAAGTGGAGCAAGGATATCTACATGTGAATGGCAGAGTGAGATGGAGCCACCAGGCTGGTGTTCCCGTGATGTCCAGGCAGCAATGCTCAGTATCTGACTGGGATATTAGAGGCCCCTGGGGCATCTTTTACACCGGAGCCAGGTCTAATTCCCACTGACTCCTTTGCCTGTGTGAACTGGAATTTTGTCTGAGTAAACTGTGCAGGATCAGGCCCTTTCTTTTTACTTTGGAAATTTGCATCCTAGCACAGACTGGAGGGCGCGTGACAATAAAAGAAAGGTCAGCAGGAGAACTCATTGCAATTGCCCTGAAAATGGGGCAGTGTGCGGGGGGGTTGAGGAGAGGCATGTGGGGTCAAGTATCCCCTCCCCCAGATTTCTGCCTTTCATTTTGAACAGAGGTTTTCAAACAGTGGGGTGAATACAAAACTCTGTGCAAACTGGAAGGCAGAAATTGGGGGAGGTACATGACCCTGCATGTCCCTCCACGCATCGCCTGTAGGGGGCGCAAATATGCTTGCTCACCCCAGGCACTAAAATGCCTCACTGCACCTCCACCATTGAATAAAGCTTATTCTACCTGAGAGTGTCATCAGTGAGATCATGGAGCCCATTTTTCTCCAGAGCATTATCTAAACTGATTGACACATGCTGCATGAACACCTTTCTAGGCCCAGCATAACTGTCACTAGGAAGATTCAAACCTGGGACCTCTAGAGTTCAGCATAGGAGCTGCTATAGCTTAAGCTATAAAGCCAGCTGGTTCTCAGCTGAGGCTATAGAGCTCCCTCATTCTTATCTCTCTGCTGTCCCTGGTCTAAGTGTCAGTGAACCACATCCTATAGGCATGTGGGTTGTACTAGGGCTCCTCCTGGCAGGCCCCAAACAGCCGCCAAACTACCGATGCTGGGGGCCGGGGTTCGCCCAGCCATGTTTATAAAGCACATTGAGAGCCATGCACAGAGGCTGCTGCAGAAGTACCAGGGCATTAGTAACAGCATGGGGGAGGGGGATCTGAATTTGTGACAGGTTTCTAGCAACAGCCCTACTGCAATGTGCTGGGAGGGTTTCCTCTTGGCCCCTGGTCCTGGAAGGTGCCAGCAATGGGAAGATGAGAGCCTCTGGGAAAAGGGTGGGCAAAATCAGGCTCCGGGGCTGGATTCGGCCCTCCGGCCTGCCCTGCTGATTAGCAGAGAGAGCAAATTTACAGCCTGCAACCTGTGTTCAGTTTCCCCTCCCCCCACCTTGCTCCCTCCTGCTGCCCAGCTGCTCCCAGGATTCTCCTGCCAGCTGTGCAGAGAGGTGAGACGGGGGTGCTGAAGTCAGGGTGTCCTCTGTCCCCCATTTCTGCAGAGCAGGGTCAGGGAGAGGGAGACACACAGCAGAGCTGCTCCAGCTGAAGCCTGGATGGTGAGTGACAGAGGAGGGAGGGCCTGTCTTAAGAGGCAGCGCCCTGTTTGTAAGATTTCAGTGCCTCTCCTCCCCTCCCTGCAGATAACAGAGCAGGACAGCCTTCCCTGGCTGGAGCTGGCCTATGACCACGTACCAAAATTCATTGTGTCCCCTCCTGTGAAAATAATTGCCCACCATCGGCCTACTGTCATGGGCCCCTCCTTTCGATCAACATGAAAATACACCCACCCCATGGGACGTAAGCTCCACAAAATAAAATCCACGTGCATGGGCCAAAGGTTAAGATGCTGAACTAGGAGGCCTTGGCTCTCTCCTTAGTTCTGCTACGGACCTGCTGTATGACCTTAGGCAAAGTCACTTTCAGTTTCCCTGCCTGTAAAATAGGGCTAAAGAAATGTATCTTCCTTTGCAATGCTCTGGGCGAGGGATGAATGGAAAGCAGCACCAAGGAGTTCCATATGAGTCTCTGCATCCATTTACTGGGGCTGTACCCTACACGGTTCACAGTATTACGGGGAGAACAAAACAAGTCCCTGCAAAACTCGCTTATTTCTCATTCCGTGCACATTTGGTCGGCTGTACAAACACGCAATCTGTGCTCGGATATGCCACAGAGGGCTGATAGCATTCTTCCCTTGGAAATCCCACCCGGCAGATGGCACGCAGGGGCTGTGGTGGGGCCCACCCAGTGCTAGAGTTTGACTTGCAACTGACAGGCTCCCCGGAAACGTGAGGCGGGGGGTGAATCGAGGCTTGTTTCAGGTTTGGCCGTGCTTCCCGTTGGCAGGGCGGACTGGACTGGAGAAATGTTTCCCAGCCTGGCTCCAAGCTGACCTGGGCTTCAGACAGTTTACAAGCCACACTCAACATTCAGCCGTCACTGCACTCAGAAATGGTGTCTGACCCGAGCAAGGGTGCTCAATCCGGCGTCCCGGACACGGTTCCATTTGCCGTCAGTCCTGGCTCATAGCCTCCAGCAGAGCTCCACTAACTTTCACCGAGTGATGCGGATTTACACCAGCTGAGAACACGGCCCGCATCCCTATGTCCCATCTCCATCCACTGCAAGTGTGCCACAGTGCCTGCGAAGGGAACATTTTTCACTTCCCATTGCCCCGTGTTTTGTTGCATTGGAGTGAGCGTCTAGAATGGGGGCCCCCAGAAATCCTGGATCCCATGTAAAAAGCCAAGGGCCTGACTGTCAAAAGAGCCCAGCTCTCATTTCGGCACCTACAGAAGAGGCCTGAATTTTGAAGCTGCCCCTGGCTTGGGGTGTGGCTTTGCTGAAAGCCCCGCCATACGTGAGGAAGCGCGTGTAGGACACACCTGCTGGCACGGCTGTTTCGGAAGCCCCATTAGCCTATGTGCTGTCAACCTCCGTTTTCAGGGATCACAGTGCTAAAAACTCATGGCAAGGCAGCAAAATAGGGGGTTACGGAGGGCTAAGAGAGCCACCTCTTCTTGTCTTGGTCCTCTCCTCAGGCTGCGTGGAATCTACAGCGGCAAGGTGGGATGCTGCCTTTGACACAGCTAACCAATGGCCACCGCAGCCGTAACCCGGCTGAGCTGCAAGTGAGAAGGACTTTGCTTAAGCGTGGCGCACGCTGTACAGCCAGAGAGGTGGGCCCTGCGGCGGGACTGCCCAGCGCGGCAGAATGAAGAGCAGGAGCTGGGCTGTTGACACCCATTTTTCATGCGGGGTTGTTTCTCTTTTCTGTTCTGGATTGCTGTATCCTTTCATCCAGATAACAACGCAACCACCAGGGGCTGAGAGGCACAGGGCAAACACCCTGCAGGGAGGGTTTTGCTTCCCGGGGGTGGGGGCCCAAAGGTGAGGGCCGGGCCATCCTTAGGATTTACGAGGCTCTACACCATGCTATTAAACTGGTACCCCTGTGCCCCACCGCAGCCCAGGTCAGGGGGCATGATGGCTTGTCAACAGCTGTGGTGTTCTAAACTGCAGTGGCACGCCAATGACCACGTTTTAAAGCACATTTGATACTCAGTAAATGCAGAAGCGAGCAGTCTGTACCTGGGGCTGGCACACGCCCATTAAATGGTTTCATTACCACTGGCATGGCTCTCTCAGGCTCAGTGTTCTGCTCACAGCTCTGGCAGTCCGTGTCACTTGGTTGTGGACCAGCTCCTCTCCAGAGGCAGCAGCACCATGGAACAGGGATAGGAAGAAGCAGGTGGGTGGAGATATTGTGACCCAGCAGTGCCCTGAATTTTTGGGTGCCCCACGCAGCTGTGCATTCTGTGTATGACCCTGTGGGAAGGCACAGTATGCCTGCCACCCTACTAAACAGGGATAAACTGCTCTGTTAATCTGCTTTGATTAGGCAGAAAACCATACGTCTTCCAGGGACCAAAAAAAAAATCCATATTGACCTCAAAACGGCCATACTGGGTCAGACCAAAGGTCTATCTAGCCCAGTATCCTCTCTGCCGACAGTGGCCAATGCCAGATGCCCCAAAGGGAGCAAACAGAACAGGGAATCATCATGTGATCCTTCTCCCATCATCCATTTTCAGACAAACAGAGGCTAGGGACTACATTCCTGCCATCCTGGCTAATAGCCATTAATGGACCTAAGCTCCATGAATCTATCTAGCTCTTTTTTAAACCTATTAAAGTCTTAGTCTTCACAACATCCTCTGGCAAGGAGTTCCACAGGTTGACTGTGCTGAGTGAAGAAAAACTTCCTTTTGTTTGTTTTAAACTTGCTGCTTACTAATTTCATTTGGGGACCCCTAGTTCTTATATTGTGGGAATACATAAATAACTTTTCCTTATTCACTTATTCCTTACTCATCATCTTTTACTTGTAATCACATCCGTTCAAAGGAGAACATATCTCCAAGTGTTCCCAGTCAGGGTGCATGGCATGGAGCCCACTAAGGTTTTTCCACAAGCAATCCACTGACCATTTATTTCCACAACACATCTATCAAAAAGTCCAAAACAAGCACCTTTCACAAGCTCACTTCTCGGGGATTTCAAATCAGTCACAGGAATTACAGTGGAGGAGTTAGGGCTGGTGCCAGCCTGTTCTGAGTCATGTGGGCGGCTTTTAACATGGGGCAGGTGAGTGGAAAATCACAGAGGAGGCGATGTCAGCACCAGGCTGGCTGGGAAGACAAGACCATGATTTTGTATGTCAAACCCTGAAATGTCTCATTCCTGTCATGGAAGTCACGGCCGTGAGAACCACACAGCCCCTGAGCGTGGTTCAGCAAACACCTCTGCCCCTAGGCACCATTCACCCCAGGAATGATTCCACCAAGGGCAAAAGGGAAGGATGCTCTTTTGCAAATCTGGTCCTGGGTCTTTGTTTAGAAACCGAGACACACTGTTGGCAGGAGGCTGGCAGAGAGCGAATTTTAGTCTCCTCCCAGCAGGTTGCACTTAGCCCCAGAGCAGTGTGAAAAGGCCATGAAGAGGGTGGAATGACCTGTGCAAAGGATTTCATCAGGGCAGGACACCAGCCTGACGCTGAGTCTCTTGCATGGTTACAAGAAGGCCTCCGAGGCAAAGCTCAGGCCTGGAATGAGGGGGAGTCAATGGGCCCCTTTGGAAAGCATGGTGAGACTCGACGTGAGTGGCAGAAGCTGCTCTCAGTTACCAATTTCTGTGCACTATTCCATGCAGGTGGGGCAGGTGGCGGAACGACCCGCCAGCGTGAGGACTGTACATCCCAGCCCACCTCCGTAATAGGAGAATAGGCCAACACGACGCCCATGATCAACGCCGACGTCCTTTCCTCCTGCCAGCTGCTGTTCTTTAGCAGACCGTGTGGATGGCTGTGCCGTGGGAAGCCCCCGAGACAGCTCCACTGTTGGCCGTGCAATCCTTGATGTTCATCTCCGAACTGGACATCAGTTTGTTTCGCTCCTGGCCCGTAATGACTGTTTCAATCCCTCTCAGACACATCTTCATGTCCTCTCGGAAGGAGGGGGTGTAGAGTCCGTAAATGACCGGGTCAGTGCATGTGTGCAGCAAGCCAAAGAGAAAGAGGCTGTGGTTGACGTACTCGGGCATGCTTTGAATCATGCCTGGCTGGAACCAGTACCACAGGCCCAGGAGGTAGTAGGGGGTCCAGCAGATAACGAAGGAGGCAACGATCACAATGGTCATCTTGATGGTCTTCAGTCGCGCCTTGGAGATGTGGTTGTTTTTGCCTGTTGCTAGACCTGCCGGGGAGAGTCAAAGGGACAATTGTATACGATGCAACAGCACGCAACCAGGAGGAGACCCGCATGCCCAGCCCCGCCTCCATTGAAGTCAGGAAGAGTTTGACTTTGCTACACGGGGTCTGATCCAAAGCCCCCTGGAAATGTTCCCAGTGACTGCAGGGAGTGCTGGATTACGCCCAAACTGCTGGGCTGTGTCTAGACTGGCAAGTTTTTCTGGAAAATCATCTGCTTTTCTGGAAAAACTTGCCAGCTGTCTACACTGGCCACTTGAATTTCCGGAAAAGCACTGACGATCTCATGTAAAATCATCAGTGCTTTTCCAGAAAAACTATGCTGCTCCCGTTCGGGCAAAAGTCTTTTTCCGAAAGACTTTTGCCCAAAAGGGCCAGTGTAGACAGCATAGTACTGTTTTCCGCAAAAAAGCCCCGATCGCGAAAATGGCGATCGGGGCTTTTTTGCGGAAAACTGCATCTAGATTGGCCACGGACGCTTTTCCACAAAAAGTGCTTTTGTGGAAAAGCATCCTGCCAATCTAGACGCGCTTTTCCGAAAATGCTTTTAACAGAAAACTTTTCCGTTAAAAGCATTTTCGGAAATTCGTGCCAGTGTAGATGTAGCCCAGCTGAATGGAGTTACCACAGGGCCAAAGTGGTGCCCAGAACCCTGTACTGGCTCTCGGTTTTGGGGTATATTTCACCCTAAAGGGCTCCAGTGGGGTATAAAGCCATGCACAAGGCGCAGGTTGGGCTTCTCCTAGGGGTGGATGAATAAGAAGGTGCCAGTTTCCAAGGCTGCTGCCTTTCATCACCATCAAGGCACCTGACTGGATTGAGGCCTGGCCCTGGATAGAGAAAGCTGTCCCAGACCTTGCACGCCCTCCCCGTCTCTCCTTGTCAGGCCTGAAGGAGACAATGGCAAGTCTCCATGGTACTCCTGGAGGAAGTGGGCAAAAAGGGGTGGCAGATTTCATGCTCTGTGCCCTTCTGCACCACATCTGCAGTCTCACCAAGTAAACATGACCCAAGGCTCCCTAGTCAGCTGTTTGTTATTTCCCCTCAGAGAGGGCTGCTCCTCCCAAGAAACACACCCGCTGTTTCCCATTTTCTAAGCCCAGAGAGGTCAGGCAATGATGCTCATTATGCAACAAGAGGTGCCTGTGAAATCTAAGGGCTGTGGCGGGGAACACGATGGCCATGTCTCAGCACTACCGCTAAGATCCCCTGCAAGTGTGCTGAATGCGAAACAGCCGCAGCCTGCTCACCCTGGTTGATCTTCAGTTGCTTGCTGACTTCCCAGATGACGCGGATGTAGCAGACGATCATGACGCTCAGCGGGGCGACGTAGAGGGTGGTGAAGGTGAACATGTTGTAGAGGGTTTCTTCCCAGTGCGCTTGGAAACTCCCATGGGTCACGCACTGGGTAAAATTGACACCTGGGACAGTGTGCAGGTGAAAAAGGAAGAGCTGAAAGGAAGAATGAGACACCCATTCAGAGATGGTCCTCGCAGGGGCGCTGTCACAATGACAATCTCCCCCCGGGCTGACAGAGGACACCTTCCGGCAATTCTTAAACCTGACAAGAATTTCAAAGTTCTTATTGCACAGAATTTGCCAGCCTGGTTAGCTCACAGCTCCGTCTAGTTCAATATTTGACAGTCGTCAGCGCCAGGTGCTGGAGAGGAAGGTGTTAGAACCCTGCGGGAGCAGAGATGAAATCATCTGTCCCCCCATTAACTCTTGCTGTGTCTCTCATCAGCAGAACCGGAGGATGCATGTGGACTCATACGTGCTCTTGGCCAGTAGGGGGCAACCTGCAGCCCATCGGAGTTCTGCGTGTGGCCCACGAGGCATTTTGTTTACTGTTGCCCATGAACAAGATTGCTAGATTCCGCTGGGTTCTATCTGTATCGTTTTATTCCCTACTGGTGTTACTAAAGTGACACACACGTAAAGCAAGGGTGGGGGGTGTGAGGTAGGTGTGGATCACACACAACATTGATTGTGAGAGCCGGGTGCTCCCTCTGCATCCAATTAAAGCACTGCTACGGTTCAATCCGCACTGAAAATTCTACGTATGCAAAACTACCTTAACCCAAACCCTAACCCAACCTTAACAAACTTAACCCTAACTCTGCCAATTCTAGGTACACAAGCACTGTTAGCAAAACTCCCCTGTCTCAGGAGACCATCTTGGTTAGGACCCTCTTTCAGCCCACTGAGATGAAGGAGGGCTCCACTCACTAGGCTAGGTTGCCCATCGCTGCTCTTTGCTGACTCAGCCCATTACTCACCTTGAACAGTTATCGGGTTCAGTTGTGGTCAATTCCACTGCCCCGTTCTCATGCACTAGTACAACACTGCAAGGTTCCCCTGTAGCTACATCAGGAGAAAAATGGACTTCTGTCAGAATGAAAAGCTCATTACATTGTTCTCCAGGCCTCGCTCACAAACCTCAGCCTTTACTGTAACTATACTCCTTTGTGCCAGTTGGCACTGTGATGGCCCTCCTCCATTCCTTATGAAAATGTGCTTATGAATATGTATAACTTGAAGATGCTCAATGCAAAACTGGTCACACAACATATCACTGTTATAGTTACAATCTGCTGGAGCTGTAGATTTGTTTTTTGTGCAAATATCATTCTTGTGTGTGACATTAAAAATATGAATTGTGGATCTGTGTTAACAAGGGCTATTACTGGTGCCCAGGAAACTTAATGACTCAGTGATCAACTCAACAACCTGTAAACAGCCTTTTTTTGGCCTATAAGCCCAAAGGGTGAGTTGTTCCTAGAAAGACAGGTGACCATACCACCTGGTACTGGAATCCAGTTTGAACTCGGTCATTTTCCATGGGGAGATACCAAAAAAAAGGATTCCTGCTCTGGGGGGAAAGTATATTTAAGCAATGGGAAACTATCAGCCCTTTTTCTTCAGCTGGCACTGGAAACTGCCTGGCCCACCCTAGGAGGATACAAAAGAAGTCTTGAAGAAGGCTCTAGACCCCAATCAGAGTAAAAGAACAGGTCTGATTTGAAGCTTATACCTGAAATAAGAACAGCTGTTTAAGGTAAGAATTTGTATGTAACAAGTTTATTAGTGGATTAAAATTAGCTATGCATTTTCTTTTCCTTTTAATTTAGTAACTTACTTTGATCTGACTGTTTTCATTTGCAATCACGTAAATCTTACTTTTTATATTTAATACAAATGCTTCTGTTTATTATCAAACCCAGTGTAAATAAGTGGGGGGAGTTATCTGGGGAAGGGTTGGGAGAAATCACTGTGCAGCTCTCTTTCATTGATAAAGAGAGTTAATCCATCAGCTTTCCCTATGAAAAACTTTTACACAGGGCAAGATGGATTTATTTGGAGGAGGTGATACCTATTTGGGGGTTGGTTTTCTAGGTGCTGAACCCTTAGAACTGAGTCCTCCCAGAACTGAAATGGTTCAGAGTCTGCATTGCTTTGCATAGGAGTGGTAATCTCAACTCTGGGGGAGACCAGGGGATCTGGCCCAGCAGGACAGGATGGTGGGGAGCTCCAGAGAGCAAGAAGTCAGGTGTCAGTGGCATGATCAGCACAGTGTGGAACAATCCCAAGAGGACTTCTGTGAGTGCACCCTGTCACAGACACTGTTCTATCAACCACTCGCAAACGCATTAATGAACTCTGTAAGATAGGTTCCTATAAATACATCCGGGATAAAGTCCATGAGTTGAGATGGAGTGGTCTCTCCTTTCCAAATACGATGATGCTGTTCTCCCTGGTAAAAATTATCCCATTCTCAAAACCATTCTTCGGCCTAGAGCAGAAAATAACCTCCCATGAGCTCTTCAGCCAATGTGGGGGTATTTTAAACATAGTTGTTCCCGGCCATGCACAATTTGATGCATTCAGTAGCCGTATGAAGAGCTATTTATCTCCCTCAGGAACTTGGAATTCTTTAGTGTCGCTACGACAACACTATAGAACTCTTGCTTACCAGATTTATTTCCCCTTGATAGTGGTTTCCTGTCCAGAGCTGACAATGCAGCCCACTTATCTCCATTAGTGTCAGAAGCGCCTTCCGCTGTCTGAAGCAGGAGCATCTTTCAAAGGAAAACTCCACGTTTGCCTTTAAAAATGCCAGTCACTCTCTATGTTATCTTGCAGCCCTGAAATCGCATACTGAAGCTATGGCTACGCTGCCACTTTTTTGCCAAAAAGGATATGCAAATCGTGCTCTCATTTGCATATCTTCTTCCGCTTCTTTTCGCGGAAGAGGTTTGGCCACTAAAAAGCCCCATGTAAACGAGGCCATTTGTCGGAAAAAACCCCTTTTTTGCAAGATCATGTAAACCTCGATTTTTGAGGAATAAGGGATCTTGTGAAAAAGGGTTTTTTTTCCTGACAAATGGCCCCATTTACATGGGGCTTTTTATTGGCAAACTCTCTTCCTCAAAAAGAAAATATGCAAATGAGAGCGCGATTTGTATATCCTCTTCTGCAAAGAAACGGCAGTGTAGCCATACACTGAGAGCGCACTGAAAGGAGGACCGATGGCAGAGCAGATGTAGTAGAGCTGTTATAGTCCAGACACACTTTATTGTGGCTAGAATGGACTAAGGCCCAAGACCTCAAAGGTGACAAACTCCAATGGATTTCAATGGGAGTCTCTGAACACCTGTAAGAATCCTTCCCCAAGTGGTAATGTCTGATTGTCACCTGGTAGGTTTCCTCCACTATACAGGGCCCTGGTGACCTAATGATTATTGCCTGCTGGGGAACTGATGAAATGACTGGATTTAGGACAGGAGCAGCTTGAAATAGCGGCACAAGCAGCAGACCTGTGAGGAAAATGGTTAGTTCTGGTCTGTTAGGCCCTGTCTACCTTACATCCTTTATAGCAATTGCATTTGAAGTCATTTTGCAAGGTGGTGGCAGACCAGCGTAGCTAGAGAATGGTTTCCATGTAGACTGCACCTATTGAAGGAACGCCATAGGCTGCCTAGAAGAGCGATTTATGGAGCCGGTCCCCTTGGAGGGGGGGGGAAGGGGGAGGGGTTTGCCAAAATGTCCTACTGTTGCGGCTAGCATCTCAGCTCCACTGGAGGTTTAGTGCAGGCAGAGTTCCAGGCTGCTGATGGTATTTTGAGCACCACATTGTGACCTTGGTGGGAGCAGGTCTTGCCAACCTGCTTGGCTTCAGGTGCCGGTGATCAGTGGCAACGTGGCGGGGCTACAGTGTCGACCACTCCTGGTAACCAGCAGGAGCAATATTTGGCAAAGTAGCCTGCCGCAGACAGGGCCAGCAGTACAATCCGAGCCAGTAGGGTTTTCAAATCTCCGTGCACGCCGATCAGGGGAAGTGCTAGCGGCAGGTTGAGTCTAGCTCCCCAGAGTTGCTAGATGGGCTGAGGAACATGGCAAAGAGATGTTCTAATGGGGACTAACGTGGGACAGAAGCGCTCTGCCTGCCATCCTCTGGCAGCATTCACAGAAAGAAGCCCATGGCAGAGCCATGGTCAACTGACTTGGGCTAGCAATATGGGTCTACAAATAGCACTGTAGACCTTCCCACTTGGGCGAGCGTTTGTGTGCTTGGGAGGTCTCGCAGCTTGAGCGGGGATGTCTCCACTGCCATTAAAATCCTAGTAGTGCAAGCCCCATGAGCCTGAGTCGTCTGGTCTAGGCTCTGAGACTCACAAACTCTGGTGGGGTTTTGTGTTAGTTTTTGCAGCATAGAGGCATACTTAGCGTTAAAGTGACAACACTCACTCTTTTTGCATCCGTGTGTGGGATAAATTTTTTTATGTGCACCCAGGCAGGGGCAGATGTGCACCACCGGTAGAAATGCATGCTGCTGGCTGTGAGCGCTCTGCTAATCAGCGAGGTAGCATTTGAATCTCCCCTGAGTGGCCATCCAAGTGCTCATCGTACAGGGAACGCTGAACAACCTGTGGTTTTAAGGTTATGTTTCACACTCTCATTCAAAGGTTTGCTTTATTTGCAATTGCAAAATAATCCATCCTGTGCTGAGAGTCCCAAGGGCACCACAGCTGTTGTGTTGATCAAACCACATAGCATGTCACAACATCAGAAAGCCATAGGGCCGAATTGTACTCTCATTCGCATCTGGACCATTCGCAGAATCAGGGTAGCTTCATCATCTTCTGAAAGAATGGGGTTTGTTTAGTTGGGGAAAGAGAAGACTGAGAGGGGACATGATAACAGCTTTCAAGTTCTTAAAAGGGTGCTACAGAGAGGAGGGAGAAAAATTGTTCTCCTTGGCCTCTGAACATAGGACAAGAAGCAAAGGGCTTAAACTGCAGCTTGTTTAGGTTGGACATTAGGAAAAACTTCCTAACTGTCAGGGTGGTGAAGCACTGGGATAAATTGCCTGGGGAGGTTGTGGAATCTCCATCACTGGAGATATTTAAGAGCAGGTTACATAGACACCTGTCAGAGATGGTCTGGATCAGGCCTGGGCAAAATACGGCTAGTGGGATGGGGAGTACCAGGCAGGTTCCCCTGCTTGCCCAGCAGACCTCTCAGAAAAGCAGCTGTGGGGCTGTTACTCTTTAAAACTGTGAGCCCGGAGGGGAGAGGGAAGGCTTCAGGTGTAACTCCTGCCTCCAGCACAGTCCCATTGGCCGGCTTCTAGCCAGAAACTGGCCAATGGGAGCTTCTTGTTTGAATAACAGGCAGCAGACAAAGCACCATGCCCCCCTCCCCTCCGGCTCAATTATTCACACAAGCACATGGCCATGTAGCCTATACAGGCGTGGGGGAGGCAGGCAGGTTGGCTGGCTTGCTGAGAAACGTTTTAAGCTCTGCAAGCTTTTAGCTGTGCAGATAGGCGGGCTGGTTGGGCTGCTGGCTGGTAAGTCTCCTGGCCAGAGCCTGCCTCTGGAACCCCAGACCCTCTCCTCCCCCTCCCCCCGCCCCCCCCCCCACCTAGCAAGCTTTTAGCTGTGCAGATAGGCGGGCTGGTTGGGCTGCTGGCTGGTAAGTCTCCTGGCCAGAGCCTGCCTCTGGAACCCCAGACCCTCTCCTCCCCCTCCCTCTGCCCCACCCCCAACATACCCAAACCCTCTGCCTCGCTCCTGCACCCATACCCCCTCCAAGATCTGGTACCCCAATCTCCTACTCCAGATCACAATCCCCTCCTACCCTAGGTTACAGTCCAAACTCCTGCACCCCAGTCCTCTCCCCTAGGTCACAAACCAAAACCCTGCACCCCAGTTCCCTGTCCTAGGTCACAATTGCCTCCTTCACCCAAACTCCCTCCCAGACCCCACTCTCCCTCCTACACCCCAATCCCTTACCCCAAGCTCTCTTCTGTACCCAACTTCCATCCCAGATCCTGCTCCTCCTCCATTAGTATCATGGAAGAGTGCGGCCCTTGACTACTTTCCCAAATCGTGGCGTGCCCCCCCCATCAGAAATTATTGCCCACTCCTCGTCTAGATGGTGCTTGGTCCTGCCATGCGGGCAGGGGACTGGACTTGATGACCTCTCAAGGTCCCTTCCAGTTCTAGTGTTCTAGGATCTCCATTCAGAAGGATGGAATTCTATGGCCAATACATTCCCAGTTCAGCAAGTGGGGAGTGGGGGAGAGCCTGAATCAGTGATCACATCACACTCCCTGTTGTACCTGGGCTGGGGAAGCTAATGATCCAATCAGTTGATCAAAGCTGGTGATGAATCCTGTTGCATGTACACTAAGGAGTTAGGCGTGTAAATTGCAATAGCTAACGCTATGCAAAGAATGGGGTTCAAGACTCACTGGATTCCCACTAAAGCTAGTAGAGCCTAGGAGATACTACCTCCACAGCAGAGCCCAGTCAAAATTTCATTGGCATTTTTGGTAGCTCCAGGGTGCAGCAGCACCACATTTGATTCGCTCGTCCTCACAAGCTGGATCATTGAGAAAGTGGCCATGAGCAGAGGGGCTAAATTGGTCATTTCATTTCCCAAGTACAGAATACATGGACCATAGCCTTTGGAGAACCTGGAGCAGTTCGAGAGACAGGCCTTGAGTGTGAGTGAAAGCCAGAAATTCCCAAATTATAATCTTAGCTCAGACAACAACTTCTTCCTGGCCCTGTAACTTCCCCCTCCTGTGTGTCACTTTCACAGTGTACAATGGAGATTGTAACAATTACTGTTCTCCCTGGGGTATGGTGAGGACAAATGAGTTAACAACCCTAACATTAGTTCCCTGAAAACATCTGTGCAGTGTGCAGCAGCAGATACAAAAAGCCTGAAGAATGCTAGGAATCATTAAGAAAGGGACAGAGAAAAGACAGAAAATATTATAATGCCGCTGTCCAGAGCCAGGGTATGCTCACACCTTGAATATTGTTTGCAGTTCTGGTCACCCCATCTCAAAAAAGATATATTCTAATTGTAAAGAGCATAGAGAAGGGCAACAAAATGATCAGGGGTATGGAACAGCTTCCATATGAAAAGAAATTAAAAAGACTGGGGGAAAGAAATGATGAAGGGGGGATATGGTAGAAATCTATAAAGTCATGATTGGTATGGACAAAGTGAATGAGGAAGTGTTATTTACCCCTTCTTATAAAAGAACAACCAGGCTCACCCAATGAAATGAATAGGCTTAAAACAAACACAAGGAAGTATTTTATCATACAACGCACTATTAACCTGTGGAACTCATTGTCAGGATCCAAAAACAATTAGGTAAGTTCATGGAGGATAAGTCCATCCATGGCTACTAACCAAGATGTTCAGGGAAGCAACTCCTTGCTCTTGGGGTATGTCTACACTGCACAGATATTTTGGAATAAGCTATTCCGGAATAGTTATTCCGAAATGGCTCATTTCGAAATAGCATGTCTACACTGCAGGGAAACCTTAAAATTAGTCCGAGGCAGGCTTCCCTAATGTAGACAAGATACCTCAATTTACAGCCCCAGGAGGAATAACTGAGAATGGCCCTGGTGAGGAGCTATTTCGAAATAGCAGCAGCGGAGCATCTACACAGGCCTTATTTCGAAATAGCTATTTCAGAATAGGCGTTATTCTTAATAGAATGAGGTTTACATAAGCCGTCGGTTATTTCGAATTTATTTTGAAATAACAGAACTGCTGTGCATAGTTATTTTGGAATAACGTCCGTTATTCCGGAATGACCTTGCTGTGTAGACGCACCCTGGTTGTCTCTAAACCTCTGACTGCCAGAAGCTGGGAGTGGACGACTGGGAATACGTCTCTCAATATTCGCTCGGTTCCCTTCATTTCTTCTGAAGAAGGCCGGATTGGCCACTGTCTGAAGGCAGGACACTGGGCTAGATGAACCGTTGGCCTGACCTAGTGTGGCTGCTCTTGTGTTCTAGAAGTCCCATTTCTTATAGCAACCTCATCAGCTACATACCTGAAACCTAACTGGATTTGATCACCTCCCTGTGAGCTGGGATTGGGGCACCAAACCGAGAGGCTCTACATCTCAGACCCGAATGCCTCAAAATTCAAAACAATTTAGGACCTGGGCTCATCTTGGAAAATAACGGGCATATTACTGAGGTACTGCACTATATGAACACTTACTTTCCAATGGATTCATCCTCACAACCACGCTGGGCTGTAGGACAGTTTGGTTATCCCCATTGGGAAGATGGGAAACTGAGGCCCAGAGCCACCAAGTGACTCACCCAGGACACGCAAAAAAGCCATAGTGGAGCAGGGAATTGAACCCAGGTCTCCAGCTACTGCTCTTACCGCTGGACCATCCTTCCTTTGGTTGCTGGTTATCCCCCAAGCCCATTTTGCTTATTCTAACATGTGGCCCTTCCTGTTTTCAGTGCCCTCCGCTTCCCAACGGCAGTGTGCTCATACCTGAGGAGAGGCCAGCAGGAAGCTCATGCCCCAAGCCACACATAACATGAGCCTGTTGCGTCGGTTGGAGCTAGCAAAGGCAAAGGGGTGGAGAATGGCTGAGTGCCGGTCTATGCTGATAACCACGAGCACCAGCGCGGCAGAGTACATGGCGAAGAGCTTGAGGAAGTTCAGCAATTTACACGACAGGTCCCCAGCGTACCACTGGACCGTCACATTCCACACAGCATCCAGGGGCATGACCGTGAAGGTCACCAGCAAATCGGCCACCGTCAAGCTTAGTATCAGCAGCCGGACATGGGACTTCCTCCTCTTCCTCATGATACTGTATAACACCACGGAGTTGCTGCAGGCCGCGATCAGGAAAAAGCAGATGGTGACGATCACGCGGGCCTTGGCCGCTAGAGTGAACGTGGGTTCGATCCAGGGCTCGGGGCAGCCGGAAACAGAGAGGTTTTTCTCCGCCACGTCAGCTGACTGAGGAGGAGTCATAAGGTCCCGTTCTTCAGGCATGCCCTGCAAGAGGGGAAAGGGCAAAATCAGAGAAGAAAGCTTGGCTGAAAATCTATTGGGTGCTCATTTAGCATGGGACAGCTTTACATGGGATAGAGAGGGTGGCTCCATTGTCTTAGCCAGGGATTCTCAAATGTTTTAATATTCTCATCCAGCAGTGAACGGCCCCAACCAAGGCCCATTGAGCCGAGTGCTAGGGTTTGACTAGATGAGGCCTGGACAAAATACAGCCCGCAGGCCAGATCTGGCCTGCCAAGCCACTGAATCCAGCCCATGGACACTATGGGGAGCCCCGGGCAGGCTCCCCGTTTGCCTCACCCCATGTGCACGCCACTCAGAAACATGGCTGCGGGGTGGTTTTTCTTTAAAATCTGTGAGTCTGGAGGGGAGGAAAGCCTTAGAAGCTGCTCCCACCCCCAGCATAATCCCATTGGCCAGTTTCTAGTAAAAAACTGGCCAATGGGAGCTACCTGTTTCAATAACAGGCAGCCACGAAGCACAAGGGGCTCCAGAGCACATGGCTGCAGCCTGTGCAGGGGCAGGGCAGGCAGGGAGGCTGATTCAGGAATGGCTGCTGGCTGGTAAGTCTCCAGGCAGAGCCTATCTCTGGCACCCCAGGCCTTCCTTTCCCCAACCCTCTGCCCTCCACTCCTTCCCCCTACTCCACATGCCCGAATCCCCTGCCCCCCTCCTGTACCCATATCCCCTCCCAGATCTGGCACCTCAATCCCCTGCCCCAGATCACAGTCCCCTCCTGCCCTAGCTCACAACCCAAATCCCTGCATCCCCTCCTGTACCCCAATTCCCTTCCCTAAGGCACAATCCAACCAGGTCCAGTCCAGTGCCCCAGGTCACAACTGCCTTCTTCACCCAAACTCCCTCCCTTACCCCAAGCTCCCTCCATCCCAGAGCCCGCACCTCCTTCATTCATATCGTGGAACAGTGCGGCCCTCGACTACTTTCCAAACTCTTGGAATGGCCCCCCATCAAAAATTATTGCTCACCCCTGGACTAGATGATCTAAAGGTTCCAGTCTAGCAATAAACTCTATGGAACATCGGCTCTTAAACCAAAAAAAAAACGAGCCAACGTCAGCTCTCTTAGGGTAAGTCTACACTGCCACCCTAGTTCGAACTAGGGTGGCTAATGTAGTCATTCGAACTTGCAAATGAAGCCCGGGATTTAAATATCCTGGGCTTTATTTGCATGTTCCCGGGCGCCGCCATTTTTAAATGCCCCGTAGTTCAAACTACCTGCCCACGGCTACACGTGGCCCGGGCTAGGTAGTTCGAATTAAAACTCCTAATTACTCCTCCTGCAAACCCCTCAAAGAGCTTACAGGCGGAAAGATGAGACTGACAGACAAACAAGCAACAAGCAACAGTACAATTCCTTCTCTGCTTCTAGTTTCCAGCGTGTGGGCTGTATCTTCCTAGACAGACTGTCTCACTGCGCTGCATCCTCTGCCATTTGCTCTTGCAGGGCCCATTTCCTCCTCTTCATAATCACCCCGCTTATCCCCATGGTGATGGTAGCAGCCGCTCACAGGGGAATGCATTGGGAGCACTTTTCAGTGCTGCTTCGTGGGTGGAAGCAAGGAGGAGGCAGTCCCACATGACCAGCAACTGTGCAGATGACTAGCAAGAGCTTGGTGGAACCCAGGTGGTCCATCCACCATGAGTAGAAAACCCCTGGGTTCATGAGGAGTTGAAATACTGAGACTCTGGAGTGAACATAAAAACGGTCGCACTGGGGCAGACCAAAGGTCCATCCGGCCCAGTATCCTGCCTGCTGACAATGGCCAATACCAGATGCCCCAGAGGGAGGGAACACAACAGGCAATCCTCACATGATCCCTCCCCTGTCGCCCATTTCCAGACAAACAGAGGTGAGGGACACCTTTTGTACCCATCCTGGCTAACAGCCATTGATGGACCTAACCTTCATGAATCTATCTAGCTCTTTTTTGAATCCCATTAAAGTCATAGCCTTTACTCTGGCAAGGAGTTCCACAGGTTGACTGTGCACTGGGGGAAGAAAAACTTCCTTTTGTTTGTTTGAAACCTGCTGCCTATTAATGTGGATACACGGAATTCCATGAAGTTTATCCTGCGGGGAGGGGGGAACCCATGTGATAAGACTTTAAAAACTGAGGGTCTCACTGTTACAGGTAGAGAGTCTAATCTTCTCTTCTTGGTTACATTCTCCCCCGCTCTGCTGCTGCACTGCGCTTGGATCTGTGACCCTGGGGACAGAGCCACGGGCTGCTGTACGTGTGTGTGCAGACATGTCAAATCCTGTCCCTCCACACCACAACCCCAGGAAGGCTCCAGCAGGTGGGGACCCATGGAGTTTTCCTTTCCTCCTAAGGATTTCCCTGGGAGGGAGCAATCCAAGCAAAACCACCTCTCCACGTTAGCACAGCCCCTATGAACCGTTGCCATCCCTGGCACTTGGGTAGCGTGCTGCTTGGATCAGTGGGGTGATGCTGTCATTATTTGTTATTTACGTTACTGTCGTGCTTGAGAGTCCTCACCATGGAGCAGGAAACCATTGTCCTAGGCGCTGTCCGGCCAGAGAACAAAAAGACCATCTCTGTCCTCAGCCACGTACAACCTAAGGATCGGAGAGCCGATGGCTACAGACAAACGGATGGAGAAACACATGGAAACAATGAGACAACATCAGTTCATAGGACAGGCGGCGCTCTCTGCACACCGGCAGCCGATAACACAGTGACCCGTACGGGAAGGCTTGTCCTGCATCCTGAGAAGAGACATGCCAAGCACTCGTCATCCAGTTTAATTCACTTCCAGCATGAACATGGTTCAGGGCTGCAAACTGGATCTGTTTGTTCCCTGGAGCAAGAGCCCTGAACTCTATTAGCACTAACACAGAGAGCTTGGGAGGGGCAGACACAGCAAGTCATCACTGGTGGGAGCCACATGTAGTTGGTTCACATGACATCATGAATGAATGAGACCCAAGGTCATTTTGAAAAGTTTGATCTGGACTCGTCGCTTACTCAGTGGAGAGAGGCCATTGGCCCGAATCCCCCAAACTATGGAAATCCAAACAACAGAAAGGAACCACAGCTGGACCACCCAGTCACGAATGACAAAGTTTAGAAAAGCCAACCCATGCTTGATTTTGCTCACCTCTGTTTAAAACAGTGGGGGGACTTATATTAGAACCATTTACATGAATCCCTTATGTACTCACATCCACACACACACACCCTGAACATTGTGGCTATGTCTACACTGCAGGCTTCTTGCACAAGAACTGTTCTGTGCAGGAGTTCTTGAGCAAGAGCAGTTCCACAACTGCCACGTGCTTTTGCACAAGAGATGTGCTTTTGCGCACGAGCATCCATGGCAGTGTGGATGCTCTCTTGCGCAAGAAAGCTCTGATGACCATTTTAGCCATGGGGGTTTCTTGCGCAAGAAACCCCTGTTGGCCGTCCACACTGCCTTCTTGCGCAACGGGGCTTATTCCTCTTGGGGAGAGGAATAACTCTTGTGCAAGAAGCCCTCTTTTCTGACGCTTTACTGTAAATTTACTTGCGCAAGAACGCGCGTGCAGTGTAGCCGTAGCCTGTGGGTTCAGACAGAAAAACACCTGATTCTGAACCAATGCGAAATTGCTGCAAAACTCAAACCCGACTGACAAGACTTTTTCGAACCAAACCAGCTCCAGGAGCCCCCCTTCTTTGTTGTCAAGGCTCACGACACTTTCTCAGCCCTTATCAATCTGGTCTCCAGGGCTGCCTGTCAATATCTGAATCTGATTTCCCAGGTATAACAACCCCACAGACCTCACCAGCGTCTCAGTGGACCAGAGACATCCCACCGAGCTCTAGGGTCAGTAAGCAAAGGGAAATAAAAAAGGTGAGGTTAATAAACAAAAAAAAAGATTCTATTGATTTCTTTTTTCCTCTCTGCTCATAATAAAGATGTAACGGGCACTTCTCACAGACGTGAAGGGAGAGTCATACCCCTCCTTCCATCCTCTGGATGGTGACATGAAACCGTTCCCCACACAGTGCCCCCAGCTGCCTCTAAAATGGTTATCTTTTTTTTTTCTGCTGCGGAAAGATGCGATCTATACAATGTCAAAGCCCAGGTAGCTCCCCAGTGCAGAGTCACTATTGTCCCACTTAAACTGCCCTGAACACCGGCACAGAAGGATCTCGCGAACAAAAAATGTCGAGGGCAAAGACTTTCAAATTTAGCCCACAAACAATAAACACTGCTGACTGAGAGCAGCTTGCGAGCCTTTTCATGCAGCCGCAGCTGATCCTCGGCTTCACTTGCCACAGAAATAATGGGCTTTTAGCTCTTCCCTGTTGACGTTACAGAAATCAAACCACCTGCAGGGACTGAATCTATATCCTGCTCCCCGCTCCACCGATCGTTACTTACAGTTGCTATCCCTCTGCCCCTTCCTAGCATTTATCCTGTACTCCACGTCTAGTGGCAGGTATTTGCCTTTCTTCCACCTCCCCCCCCCCCC